TTTTACTTTACAACTAAGGGTAGATTATCTCGCAATTGAATGACCACAGGTTTTGTATTGTACAACTGGAGGTAGGTTATCTCGAGGGTAGATGAGCAAGGGTTTTGTACTTTACAGCCAAGGGTAGACTATCTCGAAGTTGAATAAACAACGGTTTTATATAACACGACCAAGGGTAGATTACTTCAAAAGTAGGTGAGCAGGGGTTTTGTACTCTACAACCAAGGGTAGATTATCTCGAAATTGAATGAGCAAGGGTGTGAGTGTGGGTGTGGGTATGGGGTGGGTAAAACGAAGACTTCGACACCCATACCAACACCCACACCCACACCCACACACACCCACACCCACACCCACACCCACACACCCACACCCACACCCACACACACCCACACCCTTTATGGCTCACAGTTCATGAAGTAAATTAGCTATCACAATTACAGTTGCTTTTCTATGATTAATAGCTTGAGTAATATATTTATTGAGGAGTCCGACAATTGCCAAAAGTTGTGTTTTTATTGGACTTTGGCATTAACAAAACTGAACTATCGGCTATTACCAAAGTTCCTTCCTGTTTTAGGCGAAAATTTTACAAAAACACAACTTTTGGCAATTGCCGAAAGTCAAATGCGAAAGTCAGTAGGGCGAAATTCATGCTACCCAGTCTAAATACTGCTGAGCTATACGACCCATCAACAGCAAATTGGACATTTACTGGTAACATGAATAGTAGTCGAACATTCCATACAGCATCTGTATTAACAAATGGAAAAGTTTTAGTCACTGGTGAGCAGGGTAATGAAGACCGTGCTCTGAATACTGCTGAATTGTATGATCCCGCAACAGGAACTTGGACAACTACGGGTAACATGACTACTGAACGATGGGATCACAGAGCATCGGTATTACCAAATGGAAAAGTGTTAGTTGCTGGTGGATCTTATAAAAAAAACTGCTGAGTTTTATGATCCATTGACAGGAACTTGGATACTTACCGGTAACATGACTTTTGGACGATATGAATCTACTGCATCTGTATTACCAAATGGGAAAGTATTAGTTGCTGGTGGCTATTTTTATAATACTACTCTAAATAGTGCTGAGTTATATGAATTATTATGAACAGATTAGCAATAAACTGCTATTTTGCTTATTGATGCATCTAAACTCGACTTCAAATAGTATTCTAATAACAGGATTGTCTTATTTTTATTAGTGATGTTGTGTTTCCTTTGAAGTTTTGTGAAATTGTTGTGTATTGGAAAAACTGTGTTTAATGTTTGTCGTTGTATTGGTATGTGTTAGTTTATTGTAGTGGGAAAATTTCAATTATCGTAATGATTTTCAAGTACTTCATTTAATTTTCAATTGAGTTTTTTTCAGAAAAGACGTAGGTTGTCAATGTTCTTGGTATTACACAGGTTCTCTCTCTCTTTCAAAAGTAGATCGCATTTGTTCGTCTGCAATACAAATTAAAATATGTTAATGACATATTAATATTCCAAACATCAATTAATGTATTCATGATAAGACGAAACTATTTGGAAATGTTATTGTGATGGATGATTGTATGAATAAAGAGCTGAGTTTTTTTTATTGTACTTCAGTTTCAGACAAATCAGTGTCATGTGTATGTCGAATATTGGATCTAAAGATTTTGTATCTTCATTCGTCATTAGAGAACAAGCGAATGAAGAGTAAAGCTCGTATAAATAAGAATGTCTTTGGTATATTGTGCCGCAGTTTTCGTTCGGGAGTAATGAAATATTTTTTGAAAGTTCAAAAAATTATTTTCGATAGAAAGTTTTTTCGGTATATTTTTGTATTTTCATTAAATGGTCAATATTTTTTCGTGAATGAGCAGTAAATTAATACTGCGTTCTGTATTAAAATAAAAACATCAATAGTTAATTCAGTTTAATCAACTATTTATCTTTTCTTTATTTAGTTGCATATCAAAAGGTAGAATAATGACGAAGAATGATTCAACATAAAATGAGAAGGCATAGCAGATTGAAAGCAATTAAGCACATCTTTTTTTCTAATTGATAAAAACAATATATACATGTATTCATTCTTGCCTATTTTCGTTTGTATTGTATTCGTAAACAATGAAATATAACTAAAAAAAATCGATAGAGGTTCAATCGAAATATTCCATTGTTTTGATTAAATATTTATTTTGTTATCATGTTTCATTTGTAGATGATGAAATATAGGATAACAGAAAACTTAATTGGAGTTTTATTGACATATTTATTCTTTTATTTTTCAAAAAAGCTTTTTCCCAATGAGTAAAATATAGGAGTTGAATATTATCTATTCATTATCAAATGATCGAGAAGTATGAATCCTTTTATTATTCATTTTAAAAAATTAACAAACTCTAGTTTTTGTTCAACTGTATCTTCTACCCTAGTAAATGTACTCATCAAGAGAGTACTCAAGGGTTTCGAGCACTTATTAGTAGTACTCGTACTAGAATCTGAGTAGGATAATCTAGTACTCGCCGTGTAAAATAGAGTGTTTCACGAGTACTCATGGTACAGTTTTTGTGCACTCCAGTTGTTTTTTTATAAAATACTCATAGGTCTATATCCTGTTCAGTATTGTTATACTATATCCAATTTATATAATTATAGCATTCATTATATATTACAGGTATATTACGAAACTTTGAGAAGTGAAGATGTTACACTATGTTTATATTTTTTTTAATAGAGTTTAGAGACTAACTTTTCATCTTGAGAAAGTGACCAAACAGAAACTGAAAACATGTATGAATAACAACATAAAATCAGTACAGAGAAATGAGTAAAAAATTATTCATACACCTAAGATATGCTTTAACACTAAGCGCATAGTATAGATCATTATGAAAAAAAAATAACAGACATTTTTAACCGACAACTAGATTTCATTTAGTAATATATAAAAAATGAATAATAAGTAAATAAAGTGTCTTTAGTATGATATATTCATTCCTTGTAATAGTATCCATGATTCATCAGAAAAAAAATGAAGGATAAGAAAGATAAGGCATTAAAATAGTTCTTCTCTATTTTTTATTTAATTAGACTATTTTTCTTTCTTTACACAAGGGTGTGAGTATGGATGTGAATGTGTGTGGGTGTCGGTGAAGGGAAAAAAACACTAACACCCACACCCCACATCCTGTTTGTTTCGTTCGGTCAATGCCATCGTCTAGTTCCAAGATTTGCCAGATCTAATTCACTTACCAGATCTAGAAATGGCCATAGACCACGTGTCAGATTGATCAGACTTATCATGTCTGCTAGATACGATGAACCCTGAAATTGTTTGGCGCAGTCAGCGAAAATCACAAACAGACTGTCAAATCTGATAAAACTCGAAGACTGTCGGCCAGATTAATCGAACGTACCTTGTGTGTTAGATCTGATAAAGTGTCACAGTATTTAATGAGCGCCGCAGAAGCTACAGGCAAACCACCAAATGTGTCACCTCATTTATAGGTTGATCTTCAGAGAAGTTACCGACAAAAGCTACAAACTATACCAATTCTATCAGATCTGAAAAAATCCACGGTCAGTCTGTCAAGTCTGAAAGAATTTCCAGGCTGTCTGCTAGTTCTAACAGTGACACGACATTAACGAGCAGAGATATTTTTTTCGAAAGTGAAAGTCAGAGTGGAAATGCACCTATAAACCACAACAATTCGGTGAGATTGAAAATGAAGCCCACACATAGAACGCATCCCTAACTTGAGGATGAGGGTAGACATGCACAAAAAGCAGGCAAGATCTGATAGACTATGTTAACCTATTGTAGATTGTTATAGGCCTGGCTATGCCTTAGTAGAGTTTGTGATAACTACTAAATCCATCGATCTCTTGATAGATCTTATAGATGAATCTTTTCCTAAAAATATATAGAAACTTTGAATTATATTGTTATCTATTTATATTATAAACTCTTTTAGACGTAAGTGTCGGAGTGGTAGTACCATGCGCAGAATCGTTGGTGAACAAAAGACTGCCTATTAATTCTCAGAGAAACCACAGGCTACCTACCATATCTCACAGAATTCACAGACTATCTACAAGCTCTGATAAAAGCCGCCGACTACTTAAAAAAATTTGACAGACAACTAACTAAAACTTTTTCACAGATACGTCCGAAAAGTGAGGAGAGAGGGCAAGCTCTCCCAGCTCCCACACATCGAAAATCTTGGATAGAAGAAAGTCATCTGCCTTCTATCAATTAAGGACCACTAGAATACTTTTCGTCGGGCATCCAAAATCATTCAACACATAGTTCAAACAAATCAGAAAACCCTCCGACACGACTTCGATAGTATGTTTAAAAAAACCAAGAAAACCTCGACAACACTTTAAAAAGTGGCTCAAAAAATAACTCAAAAATATTTCGATATTATATCGACACAGAGCTCCATAAAGAAAACCTTTGCACCTCAAACAGCAGCTTGAAAAAGATACCGACAACATTCTGAAAAACATCTAGAAATATTGCTAGGTAAAATGTGGACTGCGGAAAGTGTGGAATATCGTTTACATGAATTTGGAGTTTACACCTCGTGGAGCTCACTCTACTTGATCAATTTCAGTTATAATCAGTCGGATTTATCGAACTATACGTGTCTCATCATCATATAAACTGATGCAGGAGGAATTTGATTTCATCAAAAACATAACACAACAAGACGGATATTCATACAGTTTCGTTGAAAATCAAATAAAATATACTCTAAATTGATATTTACACAAGCATAACACTAACATAATTAAGATCATAAATTAAAAAGAAAATATAACAGATATTCTAAATAATTCAAAAGAAATAAAAGATAAAGATAATACCATCTTTGATGTTCCATATGTTGGTAAATCAACAAAACAAAATTCATCAAGAACATAAGACAACTAACAAATTGAATTAAACCAAATACATCCATTATAGAAATTCAAAGACTGTCGTCCAAAACAACTGGTCAATTTTTCAATAATAAAGAGAAAGTCTCAAGAAACCTACAATCGGATTTAGTGTATCAAATAAATTGTATCGGATGCGATATATTGAATGGTCACATTTCCTATTTCAATTTTCATTCATTTAGTATACTGTATTCAAAAAACAAAATATACCATAAGATGCAGCTTGAAAAGCTCTACAATTTACTTAAGACTGCTTTTTTTTTATAGTTATACTTTTTTGTTTTCAAAATGGACAAAAATTCTGAGCGACTAAATATTGACCGTGCAAAAACGACATTTTTTTAGTATAAGATGAATTCATTCTTTCTTATTTCATCTTTTTTATAATTGTTCTTTGTAAATTATAGAGCTTATCACGCTTCATCTTGTAGTGTATGTTGTTTCTTTTTTTATAAATACCATTTGTTTTTAGAGAATAGTGACTTGCCTCAAAATGAAATAAAAAATATATCTAAACACTTCAAAAATACGCAGAAATGAATTGTCTAGCAGGTTCTGTGAGTTCCTCGGGAACAGAATTCAAACGAATGGGGAATCCTGACGCCCCTACTCAACATCCTCACATTTTAATTCGACAAGGATTGCGCTATCAGCTTTTGCTTTTAAATGCAAATTGAAATTAAGTAGGACATTATATACTAAGTACATAAAAAAATAGAACATGTGGGCCGTCTCCTTGTGAGAAAAAAAAACATGTTTCTCTTCATTCATGAAAAATATACTTTTTTTTCGTCGTACATTTCTCCTTCTTTATCTATCGATACATATATAAAGTCGACACACCACTATAGGACTATATCATTTACAAAGTTAAATTTATTCATCGACCAATCTCTTCTCAAGCATCGAATAGCAACAAAGGACAATGCAGAAGATTAGCCAATTGATTTGTTTGATCGTCTTCTTGGTATTGGTGGCAATAAGCTGCAAGATCCAAGCGGCGACAATTCTAGATGCAGATAGCAATGACTCTCCACTTCATTTAATCAATAAACGTCAAAATTGTTATAATGGTCGTGCTTTTCCTGATTGTTGTTATGATGATTGTTGTAGTCAAATTCCTGGACTTGGTGAGTGGGCTAATTTTTGTTGTAGTGCTGCTGGTCGTGGTCATTGTTAATCGTAAGAAAAAGCCAGGTTTGTGGTGTGGATATAATGTATCGATAATAACTGATCACTATTTTTTCTCTTTAAGACATATGGCACAAACACACAACGACGTTGAAAATCGAAGTTTCTCATCAAATATTTTCATTATTATCCTACACTGTACATTAGTTAATTCCATTCTCCCATGTTCTCGCTTATTTTTTCTCTCTATTTTTTCTCGTTTGTTCGCATTCTTCAATTCTAATAAAATATACATAATAAAAACATACCCTATTCGGCTTCTTGAGAACAACACCTATCTACAAGATAGCTTCATATTGGATTCGACAGCTATTTCGATTAATTTGAACGAAATTAGTCAAAGTTGAAAATATGACTGACGAGAAATTTAATTAGGACAAACGAGAGATTCATCTACGACTACAAAAATCATCAGTTAAAAGTGCATAAAATATCGATGGCGAAATTATTTCGAAATCAGAAGTGAACAAAATAGAAAGAAGAATTCACTTGAAGAAAATTAGATTTTGGATACATTTTTCTATCTATCGTAAAAGATAAGTTTTTGTACCTCGTATTCATAGTTTTGATCTTCTCGCGTTACGTTAACGAATATATGAACTATCTTTGGACATTGTTCTTAATTTGGGACAAGAAAGAAATATAATAACGGAACTTTATCATAGTCGAAGTTTGTCCTAAGATCGCTAGTCTCCCCACATCCACACCCAGATCAAAATGAACTACAGCTAGTATGGTCATAGATGAAAGAAAAAGCCTTAGTAAGTATATCATCTTTTCAAGATTCCAGCCGTAGATCATCTACTCAAGTATAGCATTGGCTGCAAAAAGTAAGTAGAATAACAAGTATAAGTTTTTTCGTGAAAATAAGTTATCAATCATTGAACGGATACTTTTTATCGCTGACAAAATTTTAAAACAAATTTCAGTTAAATCTTCAAGATCATTTTATCATTCTTCGAAACCTATTAAGATTTGTTTATCCTCATTGAACATGAATTATTTATGAGCCTTATTCAATTCAACTATGCCGTATGGTTATCATTTCTTGTCTATATAGAGCAGTACGAAAGTATTATTTTTCTTTTTTCGTTTTTTGATGCAAAGAGAATGGGTGTAGGTATGGATGAAAGTAGATCATCCACACTCATGTCTAGTCTGTCCTAGATCGTAGTATTGATGTGTACAAGAGCCATGTCGCGTTCCATCGATAGGCATGTAATATGAACGACATCTTTGTTTTTATATCTTTCTCAATTGAACTGAATGCACAATGTATTTGGTTGCTCTTATTCGAGAAACTAACCAATTTTTTTTCTCTATCCCATTGGACTTGAAGCTTGACTTTGTCGTTATTTTTCTTCTGTACGTTTTACATGGTGTTTGTTCGCTAGAAAGTGTTTTTTTTAAATTTCTGTCCACAGTAGCACAAACTTGTAGTAGAGAAAATTAGGAAGGTAAAATCTTCAGCTCGATGACAATTATTGCAATGAATTGTAAAAGCTTCTAAAAACCTGTTGAATATATAACATTCTTCATTTGTTTCATCTTATGAGTAAAGAAGAGTGAGTGTGAAACATGTTATCGATTGTAAATTGTAGAATTTATATATGAACCGAATGAATCAGAATATTCTATGAGCATATCTGCATGAGATGTTCAAGACTTTGTTGAGATCAATATGTTTGAAACAAAATCAAATAATATTTTCAAAAATATAAAGTAAAAATTTTTCGATTATTTTTAAACAATATTTGTTCATTTAATAAATAGCATTTGATTAGTAACCAGTTCGTTTTTTTTCAGTGAAGATATTGTAGCTCAACTATGATCAGCTGATTTCCAGATAGTTCCTACAATTTTTCAGGCACTATTTGAAGTTGGTTCTTAAAATTTTTTAAAATATGACTTTGGAGAGTTGTTATAGCTTCCTAAGAATTATCTACTTCTAATGGTTAGGCGTTTTTGTTTAAAATTTAATTCTACTTTGCAGACCGTAGTATTATGTTCATCTGTCACAAAATCTTTCTGAAGGTCTCCTACACGATTGCAAAAACTTTAACAAAACTGCAAGGTGAAAAAGCTGATAGTGTTGTATTATTTGAATAATTTACACTAAAACTGGAACATTCATTTAAAATCGTAGTAATAAGTATTCGAGGTGTCCTGTGATAATCTCATGTGTTGATATTGCGAAATATATTACAAGATTATTTTATTCAGTTCATATAAGGCTTTCATTCGTGTTAAAGACGTTTTAACAGCTGAACATATTGGAACTATTAACGCGAGATTGACTGAGACCGAGGAGTTCAGTCTCGTTACATCCCCTACCGGGATCAGAACAAGAAAAAAGTGTCGGATGCCTACTCCCAATACTATTTAGATTTATGATAAGTATTTCATAACTTGTTTTTTTTACTTGAGGGTGTCATGAATTTTATATAATTATTTTGATAAAATCATGTTCACCTTCATGTTAAGATGTTTCATTGATGTATATTATGCTTATTCTTTAAACTACAGATAAGTAACAATAAAATTCTTCTTGATCGATGCATAGCAAAAATATTTTCCTTTTTGTTAAATCTAGTTTAATCTAATTAGTCAGCATGATTGAAGCATATTTAACTTTTTCCTACAATTTGCTTTTATTGAAAGAATTTTTAACAAGATTAATATTTACAATAAAGGAAAATATTCGTGAAAATTTTTTGGACGAACAAATGGTTCATGTATTTCAAGGAATTTCAATTTACCACAAATTAGACGTGCTTCATCATTAGTAAAATTATTAGTAACCATTCTGAGTGATTCATATCGAATCCTAAGATACAGCAAACGAGGTAAATGAATATTCTTATCGAAGAGGAATTGTTCAGCATAATCAATATGAGCATCAATCAGATCCAGAATAACAAGATGACGAAATATAATCAATGTTGATGATTTTTGCTTTTCTTTTTGTGGTTTATTATTGGTTATATGTAACTCTTTCAAAAAACAAAAATCTTCAGAGATAATTTTGAAGAAGTTATGTTCGAAAGGATGTAAGTCCATCATCATTAAGTATTGAACTTTATCAAATATGCCACTTTTAAAATAATTGTTTAGATAAAAAAAATGTTCGAATTGATATGGAAGTGAATAGATATGACATCTACTTATTCCTCTTTCTATTAGAATAGGTTGAATATATGAACCAATTGGGCCATATCCTCTTTGCATGAAACTATTTTGAATATCTTCATTAGATGGAAGATCGATTCTAATATCTTTGTTGTACACAGATGCTTCTATACAGAAATAAAATTTCTTTAATCGTGGCATATAAATAAGAATATCATCATATAATTGAACACCATTAACATAAGTCGAGTTAATTCTTAATATTGACAAATATAATTTCAATTCTTCAAGATTTATCATTCGACGAAGTAATGGAACAACAAAATTATCATATTTATCTGTGCGATTAAACGAGATTAATGAAAAATGTTTTAATTTGAGAAGTTTTTTCTATAAAAAGAATAAAATTTGGTATGTCTGTGCATTTAATTAACTATCGTCTTCAAAAAATAAAAAATATACTAACTGTATTATCTATAGTTGATGATGCAATTGAAATATCTTCAACATGAATAATCAATGTCGATAAACACTGAAGACGTCCATCAAGAAGACAAAGACAATCATTAAAAGTTTCAACATTAATAATCAATGTTCTTAAAGTTGAAGACATACAACTTGTTAATGATAAGTTATAAATCTCAATGGATAAACATCTATAGTTGGACAATTGACAAAAGTTTAAATGGTTCAAACGTTTACATAAGGATAAAATCGAAGCAAATATATTCGATAGAGTTTTAGATAATGGTGGTGATATTAATTTAATATGAATATCAATGGTAAGATCAGTAATTTGTTCAGCAAGAAGATTACGAAGAATTGTATCACCTTCTATTCAAAAGTAAAATCGCTAATTTATATCTAATAATCTGATTATTTGAATACCTGTTAAATATTGAAGAAGCATTTCTTCTTGAAAATCAACAAGTGATAATGAATAAAGTTGAGAATAATTGAAAGAATAAAGAACACGTTCCATTGAATTTGGTTCAAGAGTAAGTTTATTTACGTGATGACGAATTCGAGGTAAAACATTCTCACAAATTCTATCAAGAATTTGATTGTCTATTGACAAGCTATGACGAAATATTAATTTGGTAGTTATGATTGTCATATCAAGATTATAGATATAAAGAGGATTGAATATCAATCGATTAAATCGTTCATTAATATCTACAAGTGAATAAAGAACATCAACCATATTGAGTTTATTGAAAATAATCAGTAAAATTTCATTAGGTATATCCAATATATTGAGACGACTGTTATTTGACATGTTTATGTCTAATGCGTACAGTTCATTTGTTTTAATTTATATATCTCTATATATCTCTATATTTTCTTATTGTCGTCTGAGAGAATAAGGAAAGAAACATTTATTTTTTCATATTAGGTTATAATGAATAGACTACGCCATGTTTCTTTTTGTCGGCCATTTGTTTTTATTCATTGACGATACATCGGTCAGGTCAATTTTCTTTTTCGACAATGTTTATCATCGAGTCTGATGTTTGTAATGCATAGTATCTTTTTTTTTTGAATAAGATACAATATACGAACTACAGTATAGAACAGAAATCTACACACAAATTATTAAACTTATCATTGACTAACAGACTACCATTCATTTGGAACTTGTTCACTTTAGACATAACCGTCACCCTCACCCTCCCCCCCCCCCCACAATTTATCCTAAAATAAATAAAAATAAAAAAAATCGATTAATTAAAATAAATATTAATGATTTAAATGTTTGAAAGATTGAATCATTTGTTTGTTCAATTGATATTCGATGAAAATAATCTTTTCATGTTCCAATATGTGAGTATTCTTGAATAAAATAAAGTAAATCAAGTTGAAAACTATATAAGTATGAAATATTTCGGTGATTTAAATATGATAATAATTCTAATTCATTTAAAAATATTTTTCTATAAAAATAAAGGTTTTATTTCAAAAGAATTTCTTTTTTTTCTTTAAACTACCTTAATTAATTAACTAAGTAAATTTGTTTTGATTATTTTAATTAAAGCATATTTTGATTGATTTTCAATAAAATATTTTTGAAAATAAATTTCCAATATTTGTTTGAAATAATTTTTCTGATACAATTAATTTTGCTTAATCAATCTTCGATCAAATGTTACTAATATTCACATTTTAATGAAAGATTCTCTCGACATACTATATAATTAAATAAATTTATTCGTTGATTATAACTTTATCAATCTATCGAATATTTGATGAAACATAACGAAATGAGTAAAATACAAAAAAATCTAAAACAAATTAACTAAGAATTTTTCTTTAATATTATTTATTGACTATTGTTTAAAAGGATTAAATAAATTTCATCAATATATTATGTTTAAAAGCTTCATGATACAATAAAAAGTTGTTGAAATATTTTATTGATCATTACAGAGAACGATGAAAATAAAGCTAACAGTACTATTATTATTACATAGCATATTATACCAACAATATATTGTTTTCTGTTTAGATGGCGCCTTTTTAATTGATATCTTAAAACTTATGGTCAAAGTCAAAATCAAAGTGGAAAGTGGAAAAAATAAAGAATCATTTAATGGATGAAAGCACGTCTCCTGAAATACTTTTTTAAAATTCAATCGATTAATCAATTATTAATTTTCTGTCTTTTATCATTTTTTCGCATATTTGTTTTTCAGATAAACGTGAATAAACATTAACATTATTTCTATTCTCAAAATTGAAGAAATAAAATTATTTTAAAGAGAATTTTATTCTTCCGACTACATTCTTTCAGGCAAAAAAAATCTCAAGTTCATATGATATTTCATAGATTGAAAAAACAAGGCTTGACATTTGAATAATTAATTTTGTTTTATAGATTATAAATGCCATCGATTTCTTGGTAAATAAAGCCGGATGATGTTGTCATCATATTCATCAATGAATCTGATATTGAAAACAATTCATCCTGATTAAAATCATTAATACATACATCTGACTCAACCATTCAATGACACAGTAAGACAGTTTCATATAAAAACTATTTTAATTAATTATTGTCTCTCCCATTTAGTCAACATTATCTCGAATTTCATCATCTGTCACCATCACACATTCATTGAACGACAAAAAAATTTTCAAATGAAAAATTAAATAAAGTACCATTTCTAACAAATCTACGTCGTTTAAATATTTTTTTATTCTTCTGCATTTAGTGATCGATCACCAATGACATCGAATTTATCAGCAAATATTATTTTCACGTCAGTTTATCGTTCCATTATGATCAAGAAATAGCTCAGATTAAACCAGTTGATGACAAAGTAACAGAATTTTACATAGAAAATATTTAATTCATCATTTTCCCTTTTATTTAGTCAAGATCGTGATAAATTTCATCATCTCTCATACACAAAATCAATGTAAAGAAATTATGTTTAGATGTAACACCAAATGAATCACCAATTCCAAGAAATCTTCGTTGTCCAAATATTCTTTACTCCTTTTTTTTGCATTTAATGATCGATCACGCACGAGTAACATCAAATTCATCAACAAATACTATTTGAATATCAACTCCTAATTTCTTTAATGATCAGTAAATGATTAAAATTGAACCAGCTAATGACAAAGTCATAAAATTCTACATAGGAAGTATTTTAGTAAATTGTTTTTTCTTTCTTTTAGTCAATATCGTGTTGTAATTCTATCATTTACCATAGGTAAAGTTAGTGAAGAAATGTTATTTTCATATATACAATTCAATTAAACATCAACTCTAACAAATCTTCATCATTCGAATATTGTTCATTCTATTGTATTTAATGATCGATCGTGAATGACATCAGATTGATCAATACATACTGTTTTTAAAATTATTCATTCTTTCCGTAATCATCAATAAATAGTTCAAACTGAATCAGCTGATGGAAAAGTAACAGAATTTCATGTTTTATATTTCTTAATCGATCGTTTTCTCTTTCTTTTAGTCAATATCATATCCAATTCCAATACTTATTACACGTAAAATTAGTGTAGAATAAATATCTTCGGAGAAAGAATCAAATGAAGTACCAATTATGAAACATCAATTCTAACTAATCGCCTTCACATCTTTACTATTTAACGACAAAGTAAAAAAATTTAATATAGAAAATATTTTAATTGATTGTTTTCGCTTTTTCTGTTTTAGTCAACATCACGTAGAATATCATTATCTTTCATAGTTTAAGTCAATCAAAAAAACATATTATTAGATGAAAAATCAAATGTAGTATCAATTACAGCAAGTTTTCATCAAACAAATATTATTCATTTTTGTTTAATTGATAATTCATTGATATTTATATAGAATCAATTAACAAATCCAATTGTGAAACCAATTCATCGTTTTCATAGTCATCAATAAATAGTTTAGATTGAACCAGTTGATGATAAAGTAAGAAAATCACACACAGAAAATATGCAAGAAACCGATAGCGATCATTTATAATTAGGTTTCTAAGTTATGAAAGATTAGTTACATAGAAATATTCTACTATATTTGACCAAAAGAAAAGATTATTTTCCTTTCCAACTGCGCAATAAAGACTTTTGTCATAGTTCTGGACGGATGATGCAATATTCTACATAAACATAAACGTGAAGAGAAAGAAAGAGAAGAAGAAGAAGAAGAAGAAGAGAGAGAGAGCGAGAAAAAAAGCATAACATCTAAACACAACGTGTAACTGTGATATATTCTATAAGAGAATAGCGAATATGTCGAGTAATGGTTAGATTTAAAATATAATCGTATAAAAGAAAATTGTTTTTGTTCAGATAATCAACCTGAAATGAGCAAATATGAAAGCTGTTATCGAATGATAGCTACATTAACTGATGAAAATCATCTTTTATCAACTATACCATCAACATCTGTACGAAGAGCACTAACAACTCAATCATCTGATAAAAAAGAAGTATAGATTAATTATAAATTTCCTTGAAAACAAGACTAAAAATTTTAAAATTTAGATTGAACAAATTGATATAATTCAAAATCATACAACACATTCTGATAAAATAACTAAATATCGTGAAGAATATGATGAAAAAATTCAAGAATTGGAATCACGTATTAAAGCAATTGAAGAATGGAAAGCAACACATGAAGGTTAGATTATCGTTTTTGTTTCTTTAGAAATAATCTTCTTTTATTAGCAGGTGAAGTACAAAAAACCACGGAAATACAAAAAGTAGTATAGATTTCTTGTTTTATTTGAAAAAAAAACACTTTTTTTTGTTTTTTTAAAATAAAAAGAATGAAGTTAATAAAGATCTTTTCTCACATAAACTTGAAAATAAAACATTACATACAAAAGATACTGATGAACAAGGTAATAATTTCAAATTAATTTCATTTGATTTGATTTAATTTAATTTGAATAATTTAGATGACCATGATGATCATTCAAGTCGTCTTATTGAAGAGCAACACCGAAATTTAAATAATGATTCGTACATCTTGTACGATAAAAAACAAGCTGAACAAATCGAATTATTAAATTCGACAATTATTGAACGTGATCGAAAAATGGTAGGATTATATGATAATCAAGTAAAACATCTTAATGAACAAGTAGAAAAAACAGAATCGAAATTGGAATTAAAATCAGCTGAATGTTTACAACAACGTGATTTATTTATTGCAGAAAAAAGAGAATTACAAAATGAAATCGAAGCAAATAAAGAAAATGTTTGATTTTTTTTTGTTTTTTTTTATTAAATAAAAATTTCTTTATTTTTGTTTTTTAGGTTTTACAATTTGAAGAACGTGAACGAAAATTAATAAATGAAATAGAACGATTACGTATACAATTATTAAAAATGAACCAATCTTATACAACACGTTTACATGATTCTGAAGAACAAGCAAGATCTTTAAGAGTCCGAGTATCACGACAACAAGATGAACTTGAGGAACGGGCAATAGTTATTGAACAATTTCTTGCAGATGGAGATCGACCAAAAAAATTAATGTCAGTTAATTTGGCTACATTAACACATCAATATCAAAAACTTGAAGAAACCAACATAAACTTGACTAATCAATTAGTTTATGAAAAGAAACTTTCACAAGGTTTAATGTGCTTCTTAGACACAAATTTAATAGGTAAAACAAATGAATTGATTTGTTATTTAATTTCTTTTTGGTTTTTAGCACGTGAACAAGCTTTAACAACAACTCAAGCAACAACTGCTAATCCATTACCATCTAATATTCATAATTTAGGTCAACAACTTCAACCACCTAAAAATATTTCATATTATTCACAATTAATAACTGATGCATATATTGCCAAACAACTTGTTAGAGATTGTATATTGTCATATTTTCGTGCACCGCTTCATCAAAAACAAGAAGTTATAACATCATTAAGTGAATTAGTTGGCTTTACACAAGATGAATATGAAGCTGCACTTAATAGCCAACTAACTAATACTAATAATAATGGAAAAAAAAGAACCAGTTGGTTAAAACGTTTGCTTAGTCGTAATACATCACCAAGTATTAATTTAACTAAAACAAGAGAAGGTATTATTCCTGAACATCATCAATTAGCCATTCGAAATGATCAAGAATTAAATAAATTACGTGAAGATGTACCTATGGGTAAATGCTATTTCAATTCAATATTTATCTTTAATTAACATATTCGTTTCTTTTTTTACATAGCTCAAGGTGGTGTATTACCTCATATTCATGGAAAACTTTTACCAAAAGAAAATAATGGTGAAGAAGATAGTGCTGGTAGTATGGAATCACAACGTGATACTCAACCTGCTCATATGATGATGATACAATTAGGTGAACCAATGGCTAATAATGATATGAAAATGAAAAGTATACCACCAGCAAAAAAAAGTCTTGGTCCACCAATATCTCAAAAAAAATCAAATAAACCAAAACAACCAATGCAACAACAAAATAGTATGAACAATGACGATGATGATAAATCAGATGAAGACGATGACGATGAATCAGATGAAGTAAGAAATTAATCCAAAAAAGATCAAATCATATAAATTTTTTTTTTCTTTTATAATAGGGTGATGATATGACCACCAATCCTAATATCGTAACCAGTTCAAGTGCATTAGCAACAACAACCGCTATGGATACAACAGTTGATGATAATGAAGCTGTAGACTAAAAAATTTTTTGTTATTTCTTGTTCTTTGTAAAAAAATTCATTCTCTTTTTTTCTTCGTGCATTTCTATGTGTGTAAATGGAATTATTTATTTATTTAGTTATTTTGGGTGAGCACATTTCATTTAAAATATATATATTAAAAATCAATTAATAAGGATGATATATACGGGGAAAAGAAATAATGACAGTCGGTATTTTAGATATATTGTCACTATAATAGGCACTTTTAAAAAAGTAATGGCATATTCTGAAAGCCCTTTGAGTTTTCTATCATCCTATGTATTTAGGTTGTACTTTGCACTTTTATATCATAAAGATAAATTTATTACGATGAAGGCACTATCATGTCCAAATTCCCAAAAAAAATTTCTCACTGCCATGAAAATTAGTTTTTAAACCTTTTTATAATAAGCGTAGTATCTTTTTAAAAAAGTAATTATATATTCTGATAGAGCGTGAGATTCTTTATCACCCTGTATATTTACTTATTTTCTTATATTCATTTATTGAAAAGAAAATTTGAGTACAATGAAAACATCCTCAATCGACAAGTACCAAAAATCTACATTTTTTCGCTGTTTTTTATAATTATTACTCCAACGGAATAAATCATATAAAAGAAGGTACACCAGTTGATAGCGCATGAAATTCCCTGTCATTCTATATATATATTTGTCTTGCCTTGCATTTATGTGCTGCAGTACATAAACGCAAGGCAAGACCAAAATATGTAGGATGATAGAGAATTTCAAGCCCTATGAAAACCTATATTTGCTTTTTAAAAACTTTGTCTCATAGAGATAATAATTTCAAAAATAACACTACAAAAATAAGGAAAAAATGTAGATTTTTGGTACTTGTCGATTGAGGATGTTTTCATTGTACTCAAATTTTCTTTTCAATAAATGAATATAAGAAAATAAGTACACATACAGGATGGGAGAGAATTTCACGCTCTATCAGAATCTATAATTGCTCTTTCAAAAAGATAACTTTATAGTGACAAAAAGTTTAAAAAACTAATTTTGATGACAGTCAAAAAATGATGTCTGTGGGAATCTGGACATGAGGGTGACTTCATTGTAGTCAAATTTTTTCGGTAATGGATAGGTATAAACTGAAACCTATTTATATAGGGTGACAGAAAACCCCACGGGCTTTCAGAATATGTAATTGTTTTTAAAAATATATATTATTATGATGACAATAAATTTGAAATACAGGCGGAGACTATTTATTTCCGGGGGAATATATATTATCATTCGAGAAAAAAAAACATTGAATGTAAATATGTAATAATAGTTATTTTGATTTTAGTGTGAAATGGTTTTGATCGTATACTGAAGAAGATATTATAAATGAAATAGATAAATATCGAGTTGTTTAAAATTATTTTTGAAAATATAGGAGAAATTCAATCGAATACTATTCAGAATAAATAACTATAGAAAAATCTAAGCAAACCTATCCTTTTTTTTATCGTCTAAATTACAAGTTGAAAAAATCTCGTTAGGTCATTTAAAAGAATTTTTCTAAAAAATTTCTATTAAATAAATCAATTGATTATCAACAATAAAAAGTCTTTGCACACCATTTTTATTTTTGACAACTTATTATTTGCTCGATTAGATATTGTTAAATTAGAAGTATTGTTGTCTTTTTTTTTTCTAGTATATTTATCTTCCTTCTGATTAATATCTGAATTGTATTAAGTCAATATTCAAATAGAATATCATAAATTACAATTAGAGTTGATTTTAAATTGATTCATATGTATTGATCTTTATCCGAATCCAAAATTTTTTCTTTTGAGAATATTTCTCTCTCTATCTGACAAAAAACAGGAAAACTATCAATAGACTATGAAAATCAAATGAACAAATATTTCTGTTAAAGTTGTTTATTCGTATTGTAGTATTGTGTGAGAGATACACAAGATTAGAAAAAGACGTTATCTTCGAAGAAATTAGGCAGCTTACACGTTGATACGAACCAATGGAAAAAGTTTCGATCATATTGCACATGAATAAAACTACATGAATTAAATAAATGATCGAAATATATATATTAGGTGAAGTTCTTGGAGAAAATAGTGTTCTATTTAGTGGAAAGAATATTTTTTAATTCAATAAGTTTAATGTTGCAAAATAAAAGGACTTCAAAGTTCGTTCAATGAAATCTAATTTGTTCTTTTGTTTTGTCTGTTCTATGCATGTTTTTTTTTTGTTCATGCGATTGTTCGTATTTATCATGGACATGTCTAGAGAAAAGGAGGGTATGAGTGAGGAGGAGGAGGTGGGTGTCAGTGAATAGATTTCTCACAATCGAGCCACAGCCACACCCTCATTTACAAAATAAGCAGCTACATCGTCTTTCAAATATTAATCCCATAGAAATTGTGATAATAGCGTTTTCTTTTCTGTATTAACCAAACGAATTTTGCCTTATACAATATATATCATAGGAGGCACAGCGATCGTTTTCTAATAGATATTTCGATAATTTTATTATTCTGGTATAGTTGTACCTTTATTAACACATGCCACAGTCACTGCTTTCAGTTTCTACTCTGGTGCTGTCACAACTACTGCTCAAATGGCTAGTCTTATCGATCCTCAAGTAACAGTCGCATATATTACCTCCGTCGGCTATGTTCCTCAATATGTTCAGCTCCAACTTCCAGGTTTGTATACTATTAACAGTGAAAAAAAGTTTGCGATGAATGCACTGATGTCTTTTTTTTCTCAATAATAACAGTTAGAATAAATATAAAAAGAAATTTTTTGGCGTTGTTTATACGTATCAGTCTAGACCTGTGATGGTTTCAGTTTAAAAGAAATATAATTATCTAGTAGTTTATTTTAAAACAAGTGTAACAGCTTAATGTAGAAAGGACCAGAAGTAAGGAAGAAAATCTTTAGTTATATCCAGTAGTGAGATTTTATTAAACCATTTGTATTTTGATTGTTAATAATTTTTGAATAAATTGGTGAATGATGATATCCATTTTATATGGTAGTTTAACTTAAAAATAATTAAAGTTAAAGTATAATCTTAAGAATGTTCTCGATAGTCATTCTTGATTTCTTTCTTAACCTTATGTTTGTATTCTAAATGAATAATATCTATCCATAGTAGAACAAGATCAGATTGAACAAAAGCGGAACTACAATCTTCACAATATCGATTCGTACTTTTATTTGATTGACTTTTAATTATTAGCGGAGGGAAGTTATCCTTACCAGATAACGAAAAATTTGTGAACCTGCCTTTTTCATCAGAGAAAATCTATTGTGCGAAAATAGCGATTACCTATAAAGTTTGCTTCAAGATTCTCGGTAGACGAGAAATCTAAATTTCTAGATAACTTGCTAAAAAAAACAATCAAAATCGAAAATTTCAAGGAGACCTGCGTGCAAATACGAATATAAATTGTATTCTGAAAAGAATATAACTCCCCGTCATCTAAAACTTGGAATTTGAGAATTTATATTCTCATGTATTGTCATGCTGTGAGGCACAATATCTAGAATGGATGTGGCTATTCTGTTCAACCGCTGAAAAACACTGACACCACATTCACACTCTGATATTCACGATATTTTTTATAGTAATCTTTAAAATTGGCCACTCTTATTAGGATTTGTTTATCGCTAGGAACGAGTTCATAATTTTGTTCAGCTGAATTAACAACATTAAATTGAAGTTCACTAATAATACGAATAGATAATTCGGGTGTGGGTGTGCGAATGAAGACAAGATTCACACCCACACCCACCCTTCGATTCTAAAGCGAATTGCTGATCATCCAGCTAAATCATTCTCTTCAAACTCTTAAATAGAATACGACATGAAGAATTTAATATTCAAATGAAAAAGCATTTCGCAAGACCGTGAAACAGTGTATACTATTACAAATCTTACTGTACATAATGATGCGATCTATTGTCAATTCTAAATATTCAAACGGCCATTTTTCAATGAGAATTACGTACAGTAAAAAATTATATATTTACAATTATATACCTTTTTGGATGAAAAAAAGCAGTAAAGTAGAACTAGAAAAATAATTCACTATTATTAATATCTCATCCACAGTGATGATTTTAAAGTTATAAATATTAACTTTCGCAACCATTAGTGATGTTTTTTGGGACCAATAATGAATAGAAAATTTTCAAAACATCTTAGGCATGTCCTAGGATGTCATGGTATGAGTCCTATAGTAAAAAAAATTCTTAATTTTCTCTACATTTTTGATTGAAATGTCACCATCTATGACTGTTTAAATCTATATTTATTCTTATTATTCTTCACGGTTCCAGAGTCAAATGTAGATAGGATATCAAAAATGATGAATTTTGTCTCGTTACCCATGCTTTACAAAGAAAGGTATTAAACTTTAAAAAAAAGTATTTATTTAGAAGCCTGTTTTATGCTTATCAGAGAAAAATGTCTGTCAATAAAGCACTTGTTATAAAGATGTTTGTTTATTGACAAACGTTATCTAAGAAGAAAAAGAAAGCAAAAGAAAATGGCGCACGATTGTACTTGAGAAAGAGAAATCCACTTAAAATTTCTTTCAATATAAAACTATATGCTGATACGAGAGCTCCGAATGAGATGAATCGACGACGGTGCACTGGAATTTCCGCACGATTTCTATTAGCAATCTTATTACTTGATCGACTATTGAACGTCAGCGTCTACAAGAGTTCACCATTATTAACATTGGTGAGTGCGCATCCACATTCGTTTTAGCATAAAGTATAATTTCTGCAGTTCAAACACTCGAAACCTTATGTCTCAGACCTAAGGATGGAGATAAAGAAACTATGCAAAACAGATACAAGATGCAATAAATATCAAATGAATGAATCATGTATAATAATAAATCTATCGTTTTATACACTTTCATCTTTTGTACCTTAGGATGTACGGAAGGCGTGGGTGTGCATGGAGAGAACACAACATCCACACGTACACATTCTACGATAAGACTCAGTTTATTTAGACAAAGGCTCTTATTTTCGAAATATGTGAAAGTAATATCCATAATCAGCATGAAATTTCGCATCGAATGATGTACTTATCACAATAAACGGAAACATAAAAGTTGTCAACCTATTCTTGAACGAAAGCTAAGATGGTGTCAGGTAAAAAAAATTGACTAGACGGATTTCACAAAAACTAAATTGTACTTAATATTTTTGAAGTTGATTTGCTATGTCTGGATGTTTTTAATTCAAATTCTATTCAATATATTAATGAAAATTTCAACAATATCAACTTATAATTGTTAACTTTAAAAAGGGTGTGGGTGGTGGTGTGGTGGTGTGGTGGTGTGGGCGTGCATGTGGGTGTAGGGATGAATTTGGAGAACATCCACACCAGGCATCCAGACTCAGACCCACACCCAGACGCCACACCCACACCCACACCCACCCTCAACACATCTTTATTTTAATGTGATGTTTTTGTGTTCAAGGTGTTTTTTCTCTTCCTTTTTTTGTTTGCTTGCATTAGATTAAAAGTAAAAAAGCACGGTTTTTTCCAACTTTCCAATATAAATGTGAAGTGCATTACTCACACCTTTACTTAACCAATAGGCTCTTTGTCTCAAAACAATTATTAATGGCTGGTTTGCATACAGATGCTTCAATATTAGCTGTTGTTCCAGATGCGCAAAAAGACACTGAGCCGTCTAGCAAATTAGTTTCAAATGTATCCAAGACTAAAACAAAATTCCACAGCGAACCATGTTCATTGCTAAAAGTGCACTCCAATGTTTGAAAAGTCCTAGAAAAATATGTCAAAAATTAGGTAACAAACAAGGAATTCATTCTCCTACAACTATGAACTTAGCCGGATTCCAGTATACAAATAATGGAGATGCCGCTCATTGCCACGCATGTGGTCTCGAAGTATCAGGATGGACATTCAATATGGAACCATTTGCTATTCATGTAAACTGAGGTTCAACTTGCCCATTCTTTCTATCACGGTTAACTTCTCAGAACATAACTAAAGATTCAACAGGCAAGTTCATGCCAACTACGTCCGTGTCAAACAATGCAAGGTAACCACCTCAAATACCACAAGTCGATACAGATACTCTTAACAAACATTTGAACGTACTTATTGAAGTAGACAATATTAAACCAGTGAGAAAACGTACATTTTCACATTGGTCACATCGATCAGCATTTTCCAGGTCACAAATGATCGAAGCTGGCTTTTTTAGTTGTAATGTTGGTGATCGTGTCATATGTATTTATTGCAATATCATTTGTCAACAATGGACTCCAAATAGTGACAACCCATGTGAAATACATAAAATACTCTCACCCAAATGTCCTTATGTTATTGCTATATTGACTCATTCTCAAACGTCATCCATTTTGGTCATTAATGAATATGGTCGCACTGATCAATCATTAGCCTCAACTAGCATCGATCCATTTCGATGTAATGCACTTGTTTATACTGTAGCCTGCAATACAGGATATATTGAAATACCAAACCGATATGCATCTTTTACCACTTGGCCGAATGAAAATTTACCATGTGTTGATGATCTAGTCAGAGCTGGATTCTTTTATACTGGCAATAAAACTATTATGACTTGTTTTTATTGCAATGGTTCTCTAAAAAACTGGAATCCCAATGATAATCCAACGATAGAACATGCCAGTTGGTTTCCACATTGTGCATATGTTAAACAATTGTGTGGGTCTGAATTGTATCAAAAGATTCAAGAATCAAAACAAATCCAACAAGGTTTTTTGTTTGCATATTCCAACAAGCGTAAATGATGTATCTGTTGTTTTTTCGTCTAGAAAGGGCAAAAGCTAATGATGCAAACCATCAATCTGGAACAAATGATGGTAGCTCGAGTTATAGGCATCTTTTGATACCGGATGAGAGCTCTTTATCGGGACTTGTGGCTGCTCGACTTGATTTGCCAATTTCACAAAATCTACTTATGTGTAATTTCAAACTGTCAATCATCAAAAGATGTTCGGAGGATCAACTCAGGTTAAAACGTAGGTCAGCTATCATTTTTTCTATTTAGAAGAAGAGGAACAAAAATATTTTTTGACTTTTATTTTAGATGAAGATTTTGTGAGCGACTGTGATCTATCCATGGCTTGTACAATCCTTCAGAAATAAATAGAACATATAGATGGTAAGAAGGAAAACATAATTGTACCAAGTATGGCTATGGCGAAGATTCGAGGGAGAAACCAACCAGGTAATTTATCAAGAAGTAAAATAAGTAAAGATGTTTGTATGCGCATCATTGCAAAAACTCATGGTCATGAACAGCCAGCATCTGAGTTATCGTCAACAAATTCAACAGTCGGGAGCGACGTTGAAATAACAATGTCGTCATCAGAATCGATTCGGAATAGTGTAACTTCAACATTCTCTGACATAATGGACGGGAAGCAACAGGATAATAAGTCACGAAAAACAGACAACGTTGATCAAAGTGAAAGAAATAGTTCATTACCGACGAACCCTTGCGTGTTGTGCTTGGAAGAAGAAAAGCATCTGGCATGTACCCTGTGGTCATGTGTGCCATGTGGCCATTCTCTTCGATCCTGTCCTATTTGCCGTCACAACATTGACGCTTTTATACGGATATATCTTTGACATTGTGTCCAGTAATTTCGATCTCCGATCATTATAGGAAATCGTCAATAATTTTCCTTATTATTTTAATTTTGGATTATAGTTTCTATTTATCGCATTTTTTATTGTTTCGATGGCAACTATTGCCCGTTTCAGAATAAAAGGCATCTGGCTATTTTTCGAATAACTTTTGATAGGAACAAGATAGAGAGGTGCGGTTTTCGGCATTAGAAAGAGAAGACTCAGGGGCATCAATACATACTAAAATATGATTGGTCAGTAATGGACCAATGAGGTGCATTCTCGATGGATATTTTGAATACCCTGCTCTGGAGCCATTTTGTCAACTTAACATATTTGTTAATTTATCTATTAGTAGAAAAAATTGTTCTCGTTCGATCTACGCAAGGCCGACTTTTCTAGCTTGTTCCGTTCCAGAGTTATAAGAGTTTTCCTGAGACCCCTAATTTCAGCCAATTGACCTTGAATCAGCCAGAAAACCATCAGGAATGGGGTAATTCATCATGCTGAGTCGAATGGTGACATTTGTTTTTGGATTCAAAACCATCTTACACTGTTTTTTAGGGATCTTCTACATTTCACAATATCTACTGCTGTGTATTATCACATGAGTCCGCATTTTGAAATATTGAGATAACGCCTCGCGATGGTTTTGAATCCAAAAGCAAATGTCACCATTCGACTCAGCATGATGAATTACCCCATTCCTGATGGTTTTCTGGCTGATTCAAGGTCAATTGGCTGAAATCAGGGTTCTGAGGAAAACCCTTATAGTTCTTGAACGGAACAAGCTAGAAAGGTCGGCCTTGCGTAGATCGAAAGAGAACAATTTGTTCTACTAATAGATAAATTAACAAATAGGTTAAGTTGGCAAAATAGCTCCAAACAACGGTATTCAAAATATCCATCGAGAATGCACCTCATTGGTCCATTACTGACCAATCATATTTTAGTATGTATGGATGCCCCTGAGTCTTCTCTTTCTAATGCCGAAAACCGCACCTCTCTATCTTGTTCCTATCAAAAGTTATTCAAAAAATAGCCAGATGCCTTTTATTTTGAAACGGGCAATAGTATTCAACTGCCTCCTATGAGTTCATTATTTTTCTCCTTCAGGAAAATTTCAATTAAAACTACTCGTTTATAATATTTTCTTTGTTTTTTTTTCTCAACATATTGCTTCTTAGGTGCAGGCGTAGATATGGGTAGGAGGAGAGAGGACGGGGATATGGATGTCTGTGCATTCTTGATAGTGCGGGTGCGAGTCTGAGTGATGAGGATCAAGCTGGGTATGGGTATGGCTATAAGAGAATCGAAAATCCACATCAACACACCCACCCCACTCCACACCCACCACGCTCCAAACTCACATCCTCACCCACTCCACTCCACTCCACACCCGCACACCCACACTCACACCCACCCACCCATACTCACCCACACCCTCCCATACCAACCCACACCCTCCATTTTGGATGACTTCCACCAGCTGCATTATAAGTAGCATGACACTTTTTCTATTCAATGTTACCACGTCTATTGAGACAATAATATTTTGTGTTGAAAAAAAGCAATTTAATGCGTGCGTAACTATAGACGAATTCATCAGAAGTTGGAATAAACACTTGTAAAAAAAAGAAACATGAAAGAAAAGAAAAGAAAAGAAATAATCAAAAGTGTTTACTTTCTGTTGAGTTGTTTTTATTGAATACGCACACGCTGATACATATTAACTATTAGACATCTATCATTTACACTTGTGAAGAATAGATTTAGTGACAGTTCTGTGTACCCTAGTTTTTTCAATTAGTTTTAGACAACTAATCAATTAAAACGAATCTCCATCTTTGCCTAGTTAAGTATTGAAAATAATGTCATCGACCACTGAAAAGGACAAATACGCAAGTACGTAAGATTATGTTTTTGTATTGAGCAAGCAGAAATTTATTAGACTAATTAAGTCTAATTCATGAATTTTGATATTTCTTTTAAAGAGGAAATAATGAATGGCGATTTTGACCAATATCTAAACGTAATCAGTTTTGGCAAAGAGTTTTCAACATAACGAACTATTAAATTTTAATAGGAGATGGACGAACATGCCGTTCAACGAGCACAAACATCAATGAGTACAAGATCACAATCAAATAAGTTCACAGTAACGAAGAGAAAAATCTATTAATCGATATGATAATTTATAATTCAACCCTATGTACATAGAATATATATCAGGCACCAATTGAGAAGAAACGATCAATAATCAATCAGACATCGACAAATAGTGAAATGGTACATTTTAAAACTATGTCGAACTGTTTTATATTTTATTTTATTTTTCATACAGGACAAACTTCTGCGCGATATAGATATATCTTTTACAGAGGTACGATCAACTGAAAAACTCTATTTTGAATACTTTATCAGCTTATTGTTTTTTTTATAGCCACGACCATTCACAGCAAAAAAGAAAACAATGTAATTAAATATTCATTTACATAGAAATAGAATGATTACTTGTAAAAAAAATTCTATTTCAGCACTGAACCAGTGATATTTAGTTGTCAACATACAGTTCAAAGTGGCCTATGTGAAGCTGACTTTTTCGATCAACCAAAATTCTGTGATAAGTTGAAGACCGAAATAAAAGAAGCTTATTCAGTTGAAATCACCATTACTAAGGTGAAAGATAGGTTGAACTTAGAAAGCCTGATGTATACGATCGACTTTCAAAGTAAAAGTGAAGACAAAAATCAGCAGGCACTGAAATCATTGAAAGCTCTTTTAAAAGCAATAGAAACAAAACTTCTCGATGAGCAATCAGGTAATCGGATCATTGTTAAAAGCTTTTTGTGAAGAATATATTGAACCAAATGTAAAGGAATAAAATTTACTCTATTTTGATATTGATTTTAATTGATGAGACTAATTTGTTAAACGCAAAATATTTATAAAACTTAATTCTAATACAGGACCTTGGATAAAATATCCAGATTGTGCTCGAATTATCCGAACATATAGTGATCAGAATAAAAATCTTCATATTCTATGCAACTATGAAGCAATTGGCCTATTGATAACTTATTTCAATGAAGAAAAATCAACCGATCTTCGAAATTTATGTATTAGCAGTACTGATCTCGACAAACTGATCAAAAAATTTATATTCGTTAATATTTCTCTACCGTCAATCTCTGATTTAACAACAACTAATAAAAGTAATTTAGCACAAGATATTCTTAAACTAGAAAGTGCAATGAGATCAGAAAATATTTTAATAATACTTGCACAACGATGTATTCATTTGTTTGGCTATGTTGACATCGTTGAAAAAGTACAAAAACAAATAGAAGAAATCAAGACAAAATATGCATCAAGAACATTTAAACTTACTTTAGAACAGAAACAGGTGAAGAATAGATATTTTTCTTTCTTAAGAAAACGAAAGAAATATTTGTTCTATATATAGATAAAATTTTTATTGGATATCTATTATGACGAACTGAAAGCACTTCAAACTAATTTTAATGATGCAACAATTATTGAGCCTTTGAAAAATGGAGAATTTACAGCTCCAAGTTATGTCCATGATAGAATTGAAAAAGAAATAATGGCATTAGCTTCATTGTGTACACCAATTAATTTTGAAGTTCAAGAAGAAGCTTTTGGTTTGATAGCACAAAACGAATGTACCAATCTGGAAAATATTGGGCGTCAGAACAAATGTCAAATTGAAATACAAAAGGAAACTACAAATAAGATATATGAAATACCAAAAGCTCTAACACAAGATCATCTTTCGAATAAATTAACAGCAGCAGCCATCACAATACAAAAGAATGATCTAGCTGAACAAAAAGTAAGAAAATTATAAATTTTAAGAGAATTATAATAATTATGGGTTTATAAATATGTTCAGGTAGATCTTGTCGTTGTTTCTTCGACATCTATATATCTACGTGATGGAATACTTAAAAAAGCTGGAGAATCAGTAAAAAAAGAATATGAAGAGGCTTCGAAAATGTCATCATCAGAACCTTTTGAGACCGATTCAGGGCAATTACTATGTCGAAAACTTTTATTTTTAACATGGCAAATAAATCAAACCAGTCAAAAAGCGTTTTATCAATCAATTCGAAATTTTGTTCGTAAAGCTGTTCAACATGCCATTAAGGCTCATCATACATCAATTGCATTTCCAGCAATTGGTTGTGGAAAATATAATTTCGATAAAAATATTGTCGCCAATGAAATGTTAATTGAAGCTCAAACACAATTATTATCAGCTAATGTTTTGTTACAAATTAACTTTGTTATTTTACCTGATGAAAATGATGTTTTTGATACATTTCAAGCAAAACTCAAAAGCCTTCAAAAAGGTGACATGGAAATAAAAGATACTCAAAACGTATATAATTTTACAAGTAAATATAGTATAAAATTATTTAAAATATATTGCTAGTTCAACTATTTATTTATTTTTTCTAGAACTTACAATTACTATCTTGTCTAACAGTATCGAGAAACAAGAGGAATGTAAGACGGCTTTAAATAATTATGTACAACAATCATGTTCAGTTAGTGAACATTGTAATCAAAGTGCACTAAAAAAATGGACACAACCTGCTATCAATGCATTTTATAAATATTGTTCTCATCGACTTGTTGTACTAGACATAAAGATTCTTATTGGTTATTGTAAATTATTTGGTTCAAAAGAATCTGTTAGAGAAGCAGAAATTGAATATTATCGAGAACAAACTAAACAAAGTGAACAAGCTCGTTTAATGGCCATTGCTCGAGATATAATTTGGGCGTTTAAAAAAGATGATAAAAGTTGGGAAAAATATGCACCTAAATTAAATGCTCAAATTGAAGATGCATTTACATCTAAATTACAAACAGTAAGTGTTAATGGGATATAAGTAACAGAATATATCATTTTCTTAGTATATATATATATAAAACTTTATAAGCTTACACTTGGCAGGCATCCAAAAAAAATATTCGGTTTGAAATATCAACTAATATAGCTTGATAACACTTGTTAAAATATTCCTGAATCCGAATAACATCTCATTTTCCAAAGAAATGTTTGTTCTATCAACTTTCCTGAACGAATAAATTTTAACATTATGCCTAACAAAGCTTTGAGTATTTTAAAAAAATCCATTTAGTCATGAACTAAAAATGGTTGATCAAGTTATATTTTGTAATTGAGTGAACTTTTCTTGATCGTTTTAAGTTTTGTGAAGATTAGCTTTCAAATTTTTTTTTAGTAGATACGTCCTGTACAGCGAATATATTTCTAAACAATGTGACGTTTCGTAGATAGACGAATATTTCCAATTCATTTCTTTATCTTTTTACCAATATAAATAACCTAAACATGCCACATTTGATTTTATTCAAAGTTTCTTTTTTGATATTATATAGTAGTCATTGGAACATGAATGAGTTGAAAGGTAGATAAAATTAGTAAGGAAGTTATAGTAATAGAAAATCTTATACTTCTCTTGATGTCAATTGAGGAGAAACAGCAGAGATTTTAGTCTTGAAGCCCTATAAATCTTTCGAAATATTTTTATGCCTCTCTGCCTGAAGTCCTACCTATTGTTTTTATTTACTACAGAGGGAAACGTGGCCATACTCATAATATTCCTATATAAAATATAGAATCAGTCACAATCAAATCTTGGATTTGGTGTATAATCAAAATGAAGATTGCTAATGATAGCTATTGAATAACTATGATAAGTAAAAGGGTGTGGGTGTGGGTGCAGATATTACCTTTTGCACATCTACACCCACACCCTATGAAAAGATCGAAACACTGAATCAAAGCAAAATTCTTCACTACTCACCAAAACTAATTGAGCAGAAATAATTTCAAGCGAGAAACGATTTGACAGTTGAAGGCGTTCTCTCCTGAGTGAAAGTATATTGAGTTTTAACGAGCTGTTTGCATTTTCTACAACTAGTTTGATAACATCAATAACTTTAAAAAATTTTTGTCTTTCGATGATTTATTATAACTAGAAAATTTTTATTATTCATTTTTTAAAAACGAGATATATATATATGTATAGTATAAAGATAAAAAAGAATAAATACCATAATTTCTAATATTGTTAATTAATTTGTTTAAATAAGTTCAATACCATAAGTAAATATATTTTTAGTTTAATTACGCCGACAATAAATCCGTACAATATTTTATTGATTTTACACAATATATTGAAACATGTGTAAATAGTCAAGAACAGCGTAAAGTTATTCGACATGCTGATGTTGGTTTACCACCACATTGGCAGTTACAAACAGAGACTGTTGCACGATTTTCATTAGATGAGAATTCAGATGAATACAAAGATATTCGTGGTTTATTTGACAAAACAATGGCTAATAAATATAATACAATGCTTCGTATAGAACGTATTCAAAATAAACAATGGTATACACAATACAATTCATATAAAAGTTTCTCGTCAAAGAAAGAAACAGAAAAACAATTATTTCATGGTTGTCGACAAGAATCTGTTGACCTCATTATTAATTCTTTTTTTAATCGATCATTTGCTGGAGTCAATGGTTTGTTCGATTTACTTTATGAATCCTTTCGAAAAAAAATAATGAGTTTATTTTAAGGTACCCTATTTGGGCAAGGCGCTTATTTTTCAGCAAATGCTTGCTACAGTGACTCCTACGCTACGCCTAGTACACAGAATGGTGAACAAAATATGTTTGTAGTCAAAGTAATAGTGGGTAATAGTACTCGAGGAAATCCCAACATGAAAACACCACCTGCAGGTTTTGATTCCACAACTGATGAAGATCATATATTTGTTACATATCGTGATGATCAAGCTTATGCAGAATATCTTATTGTTTATCGATAGATTTGAAAAAAAGCAATAATCAATGTTATTGTAATTTACTATTGTCTTTCTTTTTCTTAAACTTGTGATATTTTATGTAAAATAATCAAGATAATGAATTTGTTTGTTAAAAATAATTTTTTTTTTTATTTAATTTTCTTAAACAAAAAGGATTAACAATGGGATGTGGATGTGAGTGTGTGAGTGTGGGTCTGTGTAGGTGTGAGTTTCGGTGCGAATCAAGAGAAGACTCACATAGACACTGACATTCACATCTCATACCCTTCCTTAATTTTTTATGGAAAAATCACTATTTATTAATAATAAAAATATTAAAAAAATTCAAATATGATATATGTAGGCGTCCTTCCTGGGAAATACGATGCAGTTACACCGTAATTACGATCGCATTGCGATCCGTAATTGAACATATGGACTACACCTCATACTCATACTCTCTTGGACTGGAGAATAGTACATAGTTCGGTAGCTTATTTTGTATAAATTTCGAGTATCAGTTTTTGTTCATAAATTCTATAAAATTAAGTTTATTTACTAAAAGTTCTTATTTGACGAAAAGAATCAAAATCAGTTAATAGTTTCGAAAAAATATATTGATGAGAATATCTTTTATTCGTTTTTAAAGAAACAAAGAGAAAAACAAAAAAATATATAGAGTTATCTGCTAGTATAAAAAATGAAATGAGACAAAAACAAAATAATGAATCCAAAAATATAATCATGAGAATGTATGAGTTTATTGTAAAGCATATTTCGAATCATCTTTCATAACCATATCTTCTGGTGGAATAGATTTACCATACTTTAAGTCATGTCCATACATCTGTCTTAATTTTTTTTAATCGAATTCGAATATCTGATGTTAATTGAGACCATTCGAAACGCCATGACCAATTTTGTGGACAATTATGTTCAAGATCAGATCCTATTAACAATAAATAAATAAATAAATAAATTTTATTTTCGTAATCATATATTTAATTTTCTCACTGTTCATCGTATTAGTTTTTATAATATGTAATAGTATAAATTACTTACCTATTCCTAGTTCATTCATTCTTGTTGAAACATTTAAATTATCTTGCATTTGAATAATTGTGCCATTTGAAACTGATTGTAAAATAATTTGTGTAAAATACCAACAAATATATTTATCAACATGTTTATCAAGTTTTAAACCATTTATTAATTCTTTATCATCATTAATTGGTCGACGAATATATTCAATAAATTGTTTTTTTCTTTTTCCGATGCTCCTTTTGTCCACCATTGTAATGTTGTTAGATTATCATGAGTACCTACACATTATTTATTACAAATTTTAAAATAAAATTAAACTCTCGAATTCACGAATAAATAGAATCAGTAAATATAGAATATATGAAAATTTTAAATAATTTTATTGAAATAGTATAGCTCGTTTGCGGCTAACATGTGTTCTTCAATTTCATTATATCAATAGAAAATACATTAAGTGAAAGGTCTCTATAGCAAACTATGGTTGTTTTTTCAGGAATAAACAATCTTTCTTATTTATTTCTACATTTTGAATAGAAATTTTTTTGTTTTACTGGCACTAGTATTGTTATTCTAAATATTGGTTTAACTGACAAATAAATTTCTTGTACGAATCCATCATCCTATAGGAGATCTCAATGAGCTATTATACTGTACTGGGTGGGGAGTGCTTATGCACTCTCAGGAGCCTGGTAGTTGCAGGGCACGTCCCCTGGAATTTAGGAACCATTGTACTTCATTCTCAGACCAGTCACTGACGTATAGAACATTAAACAATAACTGACTATATTTTAAATGTGTGTGGCCATCCATTATTTATTGTTATTTTAAACAATGTATTGAAAATTTTTCTATATATTACATTCTTTTACTTTCCAATATTGCTCAGTCTAAACCAATTAGTTGAACAATTTAATATGAGCAAAATGAGTTGCTAATAAATTTCATAATGTTCTGAATCAGTAGTGATGATAGATTCTAACAACAAAATTAATTACAATGAAAATGTGGGCGGAGATTTGAATCTGACTGAACAGATGAGCAACAGCAATATATATACCTCACATCCTCTGTTCACCCACAAACCTACACTCACATCTCATTTGTATCTATACAAGTGTGTGCAGAAGAAAAAAAACCTATTGCCAGAACATCCTAAGCACTTGAATCCTATTGATATTCACTTGAAATAGTTTCGCTTTTTGTCACTGTTATTTCAAGTATAGATGGAAGGGTAAAATCGAATGTAGATGACGCTGATTTTCGATTTTTTTTCCTCAAAACTCAATAGATTCGAGTTGTTTTCTGTTCGTTTGATGCGAAAAACCAATAGATATGATAAGTTGCAGAGGATATTAAAGATGTAATTTCATTTCTTAGTAAATTCTACTTTTTAATATTAATGATTATATAAGGATGATGCATATCGATTGTAACAAAAGTGATAATCAAAATGAGATGACTACAACAACAACAATGGACAGACACATCGAAGTATTTTAAATGAATGCTATTATTAGTTTGAAAACTTCAAAGCATAAAAATATGTTCACTAACGAAAAAATTAAACGGCTCGAATTTTCTTTGTAATGCGAAGCAGAGTGTCAATAATTCTCAGCTAGTGTATTCTTGATACTTTGCTATTATTGTGAATTCTTGCTGCTAAAAACATTGTTTCAATCAGAGTCGTTCCATGTTTTATCTAAACCCATTAAAAGAGTTTCTGACTCATAAAAAACAACCTAATCGCTAAAGTACGAAACTCTTCGAACTAAAACGCAATTCTAACCCTAAACTTCGTCGGAAATGCAACAAGTTCGACATAACACTAACGATAAAAAATATACTCCTACAGCAACTTTCATGAAAACCTAGATCGGTTCCCAACTAGCATTGTCCGGATATATATAAGATATTATTCTATAGAATATTCGATTCTCTATCCGCAAACGAAATTTTTCTCTCCCAACAACAAGCTCGCAGTGCCAAAAATAATTACAACTGCACTACAGCTCAAATCGGTATGTCAATCGCATGTACAATTGTTTACAGCTGTTATCGATTCATTTGTCAGAGGGAGAACATCACACATCAATTGATACAGAATGATGTACACAATTTAACGAGTACGCCATTATCTTCTGGCAAACTAATGCATAAAAGCTGTAAGATTGTTCAAGTCTGGATTAGTGTGCTGAGGGAAATTGTTGACCAATTTTAGCTATTTTTTGGCAGCAAAAGTCGTTTGACGAGAGAGAGAATGACATGTTCACCCAATAGCGAACATCATTTCGCGTCGATTGATGTATGAATTATGCCCAGACAAATAAGTGCATGGGATCTTTAAACGTTTTTTTGCGCAGGATGCCAGGCGTAGAAGGCTTTATGGCAGTTTTAATAATGTTATAGTACCTCTATTGTTTGTCAAGAGTAATGAGGTATTGATGGGGTAGCTTTCATGACTCAACATTGATTGACGTTGGATTCATTTCTCCTCAAACAGATGAATAAGTTCGTCTGTATGCAGTTTCCTATCGGATTTGATAATTGGCTGGTAGACGGTATCCAATGAAATAAAAATCAGTATTATGATGGCGGATCGTTTTGTGTTAGCTTGACATCGGCAGATTGGTATGTCATCTATTGACAGAAGGATCATATTTCATTTTTTCCTATTTTATATTTTTTTTACCTAATACACCTTGAATTAGTTGCATCTTTTTGAAAAATTTTTGATATTTTAATTGAAATATTGATTTTGAATTATTTCACTTGCTGGAAAAAACTAATTAGTTAAATTATTTTGAAATATGAAAGAGAAAAAAAGAAGATTTGAAGTTATATTAAAAAATTGTTAAAAGATCATGGTTTGTTTTTAAAAGTACCTTACAACATGGACTGTGAAATATGTAGACTGATGAAACTTTGTTTATTTAGAGATTGTGATGAGGAAAGTTGAAAAATTGAGATGACAAAAAAAAAGTTCACTATGTATATCGTGATGACTTTTGATAGCATCTTTTATTTTCTTTGGATAGAGCACTATGTAAACTATGCCAATTGTAGAATCATGTGCTTAAAACAAACAACACTATGTGTTATTCAATTATTCATTTCGATTGATTAAATGAAATCATAGGTCTACCAAACAAAACTTCAGAAGAAATAATAATAATAATAATAACTGAATATAGTCTGAACAAAAAAATTAATTTGTATACTTCTTTGCATTTCGTAGATCCATTTGACATTATGAATCTACTATAACGATTGAAGATTATCATAACATTCTTCATGTTGAAAATGATTTCATATAAATGAAACACTTGATCAGACAAAAAGTATTCTCTTTCGAGCATAGTGTCAATGCTACTTTTTTCAATTCAAATCAATAAATGTCATCGAAACAATCCACTAAATCAATTCTTGTATATGTTATAACTAAAAAACAGTAAAATATTCAAACATTTTCCCATTAGGTTTATAGAATTAAGTAGCGTGAGACGATATATTATCTAAACTTCGCTGAGTTCTATATCAAATTGATATGTAAAAGTTTTCTTTTCACAGCAAATGATATGGACTGAAAGAAAGTCCCATATATAATCATACTAAATGCCTCTCCATATCCTTGTCTTTGGCACGTGTTTATACTTTACTCTTTTATTCGTCCTTGATAACCCTCAATCGTCTTTTTCACTATTCGTTTCCTTCTCTTGTTGTGTATCTGTGTATTATCTTTGGATGTTTTCGAGTTTAATTAATAAATAGAAAATTTTAAGATAAGTTTTCAATAAAGGTATTATTTCAAGTATGTTGAATGAAAAAAAAAATGCAGATTTATAATCGATAATGAAATAGAAATGTTTGATAAAAAAAAAAAATTTCCAATAATCGTTAAGAATTGTGTACATAGAATTACGTATATCTTTTCACTTTATTATATAATCTATTAAATAACTTTCTTTTGTGCTCATCTTGTTTTGTGAATTCTTATTACTAAATATAGAAAAAAAATGTAACTGATCTTAAAGTATTGTCGTATTAGTTGGCTATACCACAAACGACCTTAAGTTCGAAGAGTAGAAAAAATGTATTATGTGCTTACATACAGATATGATGATTTTTTCTTTCTGTCTCTCTCGTTCTAAGGAAATAAATAATATCAGCAATATATAAGGCTGCACTTCGTTCCTTTTCCATCATTTTACTCTTATATACGTATATATATTGATACTCAATATGAATACCAAACTTCTCATTATTTTCGTGTTACTATCAGGTTCGTATTCTTTATTAAATTGTACATTTTGAATATGATTAAAATCTTTTTCTTAACATAGTTGTTATTGGAAGCATTGCTAGACAATGCTATAAATGTACTGCATGTCCTAGACCATTCAAGGGAAATGAAGGAGGTGTTGGCAAAGTCGATGTTGGAGACAATGATTACTGTCAAGTATATACATATATAAATTTTAAAAATCTTTTCTTTGTCGAAAATTTAGATTTGATATTATTCTTTGTAGAAAACGATTGCGTCGGGTATTGAAAGTCGAGACAGTGGTGGTAATGATTGTACACCTATCGATAAATCGAAATATTGTTGCAAAGGCGATTTATGTAATGGAGCAACAACAGTTACAGCAACTATGAAACTTTTGGTAGCAGCAGCTAGTCTACTATTTGTTGCACAATTCTTTCAATGAATAAACTTCAGTGGATTCTTGATTTATATTTGTGTTTAATATTATTTGTAGTTTTTTTTTTTCATATTTACAATTAATCTATAAAAGATAAATCTAGCGAGCTTATTCTATTTCACTACTATTAACTATTATTGAAGATCGATGTATATCTTTCACAGATTTCATTGTTGCACTTATAAATTGAATAATTTTTGCTCAAAACTTTCAAGAATATCAATATGAATATATAGAAAAATTGTCAATGCAGCTCCTCCAGGGGTCAAAATGTGAAACTCACAAACTCTGACTACTATCAATTAAATAGTATGTTGTCAGAGACGTTAAAAAGAATTTATTTTAAAAAATGCTAAATAACAGTCTTTGATATATACTGTTGAACTTTGCCTATACTGAGAAGTCATTTAGTTCATATTTTTCTATGTCCATCTTATTCGGACTTTGCTGGATTCTAGAATGATCAAGCACGTTCACATTCACACTCTCTATTGCAAAACAAATTCATTCAGAAACAAAATCTTATTCGTGTAAAAATTACATTTCATAAAGAGATAAATTGTTTTTTTGCTTACCATGTATATTCGTCCTTAATAACCTTTTCTATTTTCACGCGGACAAAAACATACAAAGAATTTTTTATTGTACTGTAAGCATAGAAAAGAATAAAAAATCTATTCTTCATATTGTGGGTATATGTATCATTGTTCTAGCTAAAATATAAAATAATAATATTTATATTATAATTATCAATACTATTTAAATGAATTCATTGACAATTTCTGGTTTAGTAAAAAAAATGATCATGTTACTGTTAATCAACTTTATTAAGTATGTTAATAATTTTTGTTTTTCTAAATATAAATAATAATATCAATTGTAGAATTATTCAATGTGTTGAGATAATATTAATGAACAAGAACGTCTTTCTATTCAATTTATACAAGAGTTAACTAAACATTCTACTTCGGAAGAAAAAAAAAATAGCTGATCAAGATCGATATGAATATCAAACTGTTTGTTTATTATTTTGTTATTATTCTTTTTTTTTTTATAGGTTAAAAAAACTTTTGCATTTACTTGGAACAAGACCTGTATCTGATCCAAAACATTCTCTACTATATTTGATGAACTTATGACTAATTTAATGACATGTGTTGTAGAGTAGATTCAACTATTTATTTATCATTTATATGAATAAATAAAATAAATTTCAGTGAAGAAAATAATGATTGAAAATCCAATAACATCTTATTTAAGTGCATCATTAGCTCAATTATTTCCATTGCTGTTTAGTATATTGTTCTTTTTCTTTTTTTCTTGTGTATTTGTTTATTATATTCATATAGATAATTATCAAAATTTGCCTTTTAATAACGTATATTTGTGAACAATTCTTGATTTTCTTATACTTTCTTTATTCGATTTATTTTCATCTGTTATATTATAAAATTCATTAAACAGTCAATATTTATTCATGCTTTATTTATTTAGCATTTTTTCTTCTTTTTACATAATAAACTAACTTTTTATGGAACTCACATTATAGTTAGTGTGAGCTTTAAATTTATATTTTGCGACTCTCCCTCCTTAGCAACAGGAAAAAAAAGGTGCTGAATGGCATTTACAACAAGACGAAGACTGTTCTAGAGTTTTTCACAGCCTTTTTCGATATTTGAATGATTGGAATACGTTTGTGAGTGCACCTAAATAGTACAAGTTTTGCTTTTTGCACAGATTCTAAAGAACATCAGTTAAAAAAAAACTTCCATTCGAAATGGAGAAATAAATAAGACAGGTCGTGTCTCAGGCAATTGATTATCCTTAGAAAATAACTTTGGTTTGCTAGAGATTTTTCACTTCGATCCTATTCTTGTATATTACATTAAACAAAATTTTGTATTTAAGTGACAGCAATTGATTATCCTTGTTTTAGATTTAATTATTGGATTATGCTCAATGATAATATTTTCAAGAAAAAAAAAAATTACAAGAAGTTGATTGTGATTAAAATCTTTTAGTTTCATCAATCGGTTTGATATGTATGATAATTATATTAACAATCAAGTTTTGTCAACTCATTCTTTCACAAATTTTACTGTTAAATAATCGATTATTATTCGTTTTCAACTGTATTTAATTAAATTCTATTCTTCGAATTTTTGTAGTATCTAGTGAATGGTTTAATGCATAAGTAGCAATTGAACGGATGATTAAGTGTCATTAAACTGCAAATTGCAATAAAAGAAAAAATAAACAAATACCGAATGTCCCAAAAGTCGTGTTCACTTAAGAATTGCATATAATAATTTCCTTATCAATCAAACTTAATCTAATAATTTTTTTTTTATTTGAAAGAGAAGATCAGTAAGTTATTTTTCATAAAGATAAAGTTCATAAATATTCTTCAAAAATATAAAATCTTTGACTTCAACATAAAAAAATTACATATTTTATAATTAAAAGAAACCATGAAGCATTTTATTTTTATTATATCGATTTCTATATAGTTATTCGAGTGTTTAAATCATAGAGATCGTTTAAGATTATATTGTAAACATTTGGTTTGAGACAGACTCATAGATAAAAGTTCAATGATGTGTAGCTTAGTGATTGAGAGGCTCATGACGTTGGTCCACATTTTTTGACACACCTTGCATTTCATCATTGTCGTTACTCGATCATGTGCAATGTGACGTGTCAATAAGTAATTGCACAAGCATGAAAAATTTTATGAAATAGAACATATAAATATCTAAAATGAAAGAAAACTTTCAAGCATACGCATTATAGAAAGAACGAACATCTCAACAGTTCCACAATGACTGACAAAATTAAACCGTCTCTTCATACATTACCGAAAGAGCTTATCTACCGAATTCTTAACTATCTTGATGATTTCAGTATGTTTTGCACAATGCGAAACATCTGTACACGTATTAATACCATCATGGACAGCCATCGTCGATACAAGGTAAACTTTTTTCTTTATCTCAACGTCTTATTTTTCATTATATTCAAAACATTATTCATTCTGATAAGATATTTCAACTCTGTTTATGATTTCTATTTGACCATACTGAAAAAAAATTGTCTTTGAGAATAAATATCAGATAAAATAAAAAAGCTAATGTAAAAACTGTTCAATCTGAATATTTGTGATAAATCATATGTTTTGAAAACATTACTTCGACTTCTAAAAGTGCAACATATGAAGAGTATTTTAATATTATATGTGGTAATTAAAATGATTCTGTAATATAGTGACATATATTATTATATTATATTGTTTTTCTTTTCTTTCACGTCATTCTGATGAGTCATCATACATACATATATGCCGTCTTTTAAGTTGTTATTACTCTTGTTCATTTCTTTTCATCTCAATATTGTTTTCGGTTTCTATTTCTCTCAAGTCAATAGAACAAGCTATTGACCTTAGTCTCACATTTGTCTGTTACGCATTTCGAAATGCGTGACGGATTCACATAACTATATCAACTTTCAGAAAAATATACTGATCAATGTGGTATTGTCACGAGCAAATGAAGAAGAAATCATAATCTCTAATAACCGGAAACTGTCATTTTTCTCAAGTAATAACTGATGTAAACTTTTGTTGGCCACTCAAAAACCTGCCCCGTCTCCGACGTACGTATCAACCCCTTTTCTAAACCAGAACTTCTCGCGAGATTTAGAAGGCTTATTATATTAGATATTTTACATTCATTGTAATGATCTATATACCAGACAATATCAATAAGTGCTGTTCTCCTGAAAATAATATATAGAGTAAGCTTCTATAAACTTCATTATTTACTCGACATTTAAAAAAACTTTCTACATTTTAAACGTTCAACCATAAGATTTACTAATCAGCCTTTAATCTATCTAATTCTTTTAACATTTTACACAGACACTAACCACACTTCAACTGTGCAGAAATAAAATGGGTCTACAAGGAGCAATACATCTTGCTAATACTCTCAAAGACAACAAAGTAACATTCTTCTCTTACTTCCTTCATTCTATTACCCATTCACTACTTAACAGACGATCACTACACTTGATATTGGACTCAATGAAATCGGTGATCAAGGAGCATATTATCTTGCCGATGCTTTACGGCAAAATCAAGTAGCACTTCTTTTCTTCTTCTTTTCATTGAGTCACTCGCTTGCTATTTTTACATAGGCACTCATCAAACTCAATCTCCAACTCAATCAAATCGGTGCACAAGGAGCAGAATATCTTGCCAATAGTTTGCAACAAAATCAAGTAATATTCACTCATTCTATCTTCTGATTCTTTCGCTCACACGAACTATTTTATATAGACATTGACTAACCTGAATCTCCATTACAATCAAATTGATGATGAAGGAGTAAAATATCTTGCCAATGCTTTGCAACAAAATAAAGTAATATTTCCTTTCTTCTTCTTTTCAATTTGTTATTCACTTACTAATTATTTGATACAGACACTCACTACATTGAATCTTATACACAATCAAATTGGTGAACAAGGTGCATATCATCTTGCCAATGCTCTACAAATAAATCAGGTAACATCGATTGATTTTGTCTTCTAATTTTCTTGTTCATTCACTATTCCGCACAGACACTTACTACACTTTATATCGCAGAAAATCAAATCGGTGATCAAGGAGCACAACATCTCGCTAATGCTCTGGAAAGAAATCAAGTAACATCTATCTATCTCACTTTTTCAAGCTTTCATTTATTCACTATTTCACACAGACACTCATCATACTTTACGTCGCAAAAAATCAAATCAGTGATCAAGGAGCACAATATTTTGCTAATGCTCTACAAAAAAATCAAGTAACATCTATCTATCTAATTTTTTCCATCTCTCATTTACTCACTATTCAACACAGACACTTACTAGATTAAATCTCAAAGCAAATCAAATCAGTGATCAAGGAGCATGCCATCTTGCAAATGCCCTTTTACAAAACAAAGTAACATTTCTTTTCTTTCATTCTATCATTCATTCAATATTTCATATAGACACTTACCAGATTAAATCTCAAATGGAATCAAATTGGTGATCAAGGAGCATGTCATCTTGCAACTGCTCTTCATCAAAATAAAGTAATACTTTTTCTATTCTCTTCTTTTTATTCTACTATCTACTTCGTATTTCATACAGACACTTTCCTTTCTGGACATTCGATGCAATAATATGAGTGATGATGGAAAAGATTATCTTTTGGAAATACGAGAAGATTATCCAAGAATAAAACTGATTTTATAAGAATTAGACGAACGAGTGAACAGTTATGTACTTATCATCATGACTTTGACTTTTTATTGCAAAAGTGTTTCTTATATGATATTTATTAAATATATATATATTCTAATAATAATTAATGTGTTATGTTCTGTGATACGATCTTTTGAGCATAATAGGAAACGATGAAAACAAGAGGCAAAGGAATAATAAGTCTTGGCACAAAATGTTCGCTTATTTTTTGGACATTTAGTAGCAATTATTGACCGACAAAATCAATCAGTTAGAATCAGAATTTTCTGTTCTTTCAGAATATATATGTACAGAATTTTCTTTTAATATAAACTTAGTCAGCCACAAGAAAATTTTTCAAACGGTCTAAAATGATGTCCGTACAAAATATTGTCCAAATTTGTATTTTAACTAGAACCTACTTATTAAAAAGTGTGTAATGACTTTTAATAGTTCACTTTTGTAGAGCAAACTTTGTTCCATAAAATGTACTATTTTTTTCTTCTTTCGTTTTGTATTTAAAAAAAAAAACAGTTTTTAAAAAATCGAGTTTTTGATGAATACCACGTTACATAGAAAGTAGCTGTTCCAAAAAGAAATACATAACTTTTGAGTCGTTTGAGATTTTGCTTATCATAATTGCTCATTCTGTAGATTTGTTTTGCATAGACGTCAAAAGAATACACATAATTCTGCTTATAAGTGCCCGAATCGTCTCAGCCAATCATATTCAAGATGCTGGCTTCCGCAAAAAGCGGATCTTTATTTTTACTACTCATTTACACTATCTATCTGTAAGATCTATCGCTCACTACTGAACTCTACACTACTTTAAAAAACTCTAACTGAATGTACAAGAGATCGCTACACTCAAGGACTTAAAAGATACTATATGAATGAATCCTTTTCTATGTTAAAGAACAGACACCAAAATTCATTCCGTACATCCGTGAGGGTGTGGCTGTGGGTGTGAGTGTGGGTGAAGAGATGACCTACACCCACACCCTTTATTGCGTGGGGAAAGAGGGAGTAATTTTTATATATTTAGCTATGTTGTTAAAAACAAAGATATTTTTCGAGAAAGCGATGAAACTGCCAAATCTCAAAACGTTCTGCCACCGTCTCACTATCACAATACTTAGCACTATCCTACAGCAAAACGGTGTGCCAACACAGCTCATCTATCAATGGTTCAATTTTATTTATTATTCATCATTACGTAGCTTTTTGTTAAAATCAAAAAGAACTACTATAATCTCGGTTTTTTTTTCAGAATGCAGTTCTAGAAATTGTGATTTAATAGTAAAACAAGAGAAAGTGATTTTAGATACGGTTGCATTGAACTAACTATTAGAAAACAGTATAATAACCTCTGCGATTATGGAAAATGATTTATTGAGATATTACTATGAAAGACAATCTGTTCTCTGTAATCATTTTAAAAAAATTCCCAAATGAGATAGACATAAACAAGCTTTTTTTCATTTTGTTTTTTTTAGAGGCGGAGAAACGGAGAAGAATGTGATTAGCCTCTTCTCCTTGACACCATCACTAGAGAAAAAAGGAAAAAAGTTCATTTACAGCAATTTAATGAGATTGATAGGTCGTCTAGTATCCATAACACAGTAATCACTATGAAAATGTCACAAAACTACAGTTGTACCCAAATTTAATATTAAAGTTTTTATATAATGATCATAAAAAAACACTCGCGAGTAATTATATGCACATGATCTCATCATCAGTTTGTATATTGTATACGATAAATTAAACATGCAGAAGCAAAAAAAAACAGTATTCGAATATCGGATTCTGTATAGAATTTCCAAGAAAGAAAAATCCATAGCGCAAAATATTAAAATATCTTCATCAACAATATAGTGTCAACAATTGAATACCGTAATAATAATCATCTATTTTTAACTACGAATTGATCTGTACGTATATGACATCTATCGTTCACTTTCCTCCAAAAGATTATTTTAAGCATACAATTCAATTAAATAGTTAACATCAAGTTCTCAATGAGTCTGTCAAATTCAGGAGAACATTTTTTACTATCCATATTCTTTTCTCTTTCTCAAAATAGGCAAATCTTAATATTAACTTTAATATTTTAGATTAACAAATGTTATTCATTAAAAATATTTATTCGATTTATCGATTCCAACGTGTATTATCTATCTACCAGAAAAATAACACGAAATTTTCAAATTCGTCATCAATAAAATTAAATTTAACATTACAAAAACTTTTTGGTTCCAAACAATACAAAGAAGCTTTTGAAATTGTCGATCAAAATTTTGATATATGTACAGATATTACAATTAATATGGCCATAAAAGCTTGTGCTATATCAAAAGATTATACACGTGGTATTAATATTCATCGAAAGCTCTCATCACATTCAATTAATAATTCTTATATTCAAGCATCATTAATTCAGCTTTATAGTAAGCCATTTATTTTATTAATCACAATAATACTATATAATAAAGCAAATATATGAATATTCTAATGGATGAGAATATTCAATTTTAGTGAAAAAATTTCGTTTTTTTACATCTTCTCGTAGCAATAAGATTTACGTAATTATAGATTTCATTTGAATAAATGAAACATCTTCAACCGCTCAAATCGATCAAAAAAAAACTTATTGTTTCCATTCCAATAGAAAAATAATATTCTTTCATATTATTTTCACTTAAACTGTTGAGAATCATTAATTATAAAATATGTCAAAAGTTCCTGGAGATCTTGAATTAAGATTTCAGACTGATTTTATGTTATGAGGCAAACACAATAAAAAAAAACATCATAGCCAGGAGAGAATGCAATATTTTTTTTTGATTATTTATGTTAAATATTCAACAAGAACATAATCATATCCTGAGCAATTAATATTAGTTAGCAAAGCTACGATAACCACACTAAAGAAAACTATTGTACTTGCACTTCTAGTTAAGTGCGAAGAGAGAACTTGTTATGATGGCTACCCGGACATGAAACATATAGGTTTTCAAATGCTAACAAGATATATTCTCTATCAAACTTATACTAAAATCTAAGTTCAGTATAGACAGTATCGTGCTGCTCATTAGAACGAAAAGTCAGTTCAAAGTTATAGAAATCTTGAGACGTAGCTAATAAAAAATATTTGTCAATTCAAGAATGAATTTCTTCAACGAGATAATATCGTGTAATCATTTTAATTATCATTCGAAGCTTACTCTGAAACAATTCTTGATGCTCTTTATACGAAAAAAAACTCTTGTAGTCGCCAGATATAATAGACATATTGTATATTCGAGCGTGGAATATACAAAAAAATTTTTGTAGAAGAATAAAATATTAGGTAAATTTCCGTTGTATATCAATTAAAATATCTCTGTAATATTGACTTTATTATAGAAATTCAGAAAAATTTTTATCACAAAGCAATCTTTCATAATACAAGAAAAATTAAAGTCATATGTTTACATCAAGATTTTATTCTATGAATAGTTCTTATTAGTTAGAGAACGTATTTCTTTGTTCAATCGTATATAAAGAAATTTTTTGAAAAATTCAAAAGAAAATACAGAATGTATATTCAATTGTGGATTTTCTATAAACTACTCACTAGATATCATTGTGAACGAATTATTATCCATACTAATTAGATTTCAACATAAGTAACAACCACCTTAAATAAGTTTGACAAGAATAAAACTTTTTGTCTTTATTTTTAGTTATTCAATTTTTGAAAAGCTTTAATATTGTTAGTGGCACATTTTATTCTTGAGAAAAAAAAAAGAATACCATTACATATTGTACCAAGACATTGCGAGACATTGATTGTATTCTTCTAAGGACACTTGATACTAATAACAATTTTCCCTTCTTCGCAGAAAAATGTGTCTGTCTTTCTAGTTGTTCGAATGTAAAATAAAGTCATTTCCTAATGATGCATTAGGCAAAAATGTCTTGAAGGTGAAGTTTGGCGAGATTAGCAAAACTAATTATTTTGATAGGCATAATAGAAGATCTCAGGTAACTTATGAACGATAAGATAGATAACAAGACCTAAGATCTTCTAATATGGTCGATGGCTATGCAAATAGTTTCTTACGAAGTCCAATACTTAATGCAAACTTATATCGATCATGTTGTTATTATTTTTAGTGCAATATGGTGATATTGTCAATGCAACTCGTCTATTCTCAACAATTACAAACAAATCCAACTATATCTGCACAGTTATGTTCAAAGGTTAGTATTTCTTTCGATTTTTACTTGTGACATTGTTGTTTTAAATAGGTCTTATCTCTAATAACATGCCCGAAAAAGTGCTCGATTTATTTGATGAAATCACAATCGAACCTGACAAGTATACTGTCACTGTTCTATTTAATGCCTGTGCTAAGGTTGCCAATGATCGAGCAATGAAAATTGGAAAAAAACTTCTTGAGAAAATGCCTCGAAATTTTCGAAATGAAGATGTTCTATTAATTTCAGCAATGCATATGTTAATAAGATTTGGTGATATTCAAAATGCTGAAAATCTTTTTCAATCAATTAAAAATAAAAATATTATTACTTATGCTACTATGATGAAGGGTAACAATATATTAAACAGATTTTAGAATATTTGTAAGCTTCTACTTTAGCATATGTCCAAAATCAAATGTCAGAAAAAGCTTTGAATTTATTTGAACAAATTGAATTGAACTTAAATAATGCTGCTTATACTATTGTTTTTAATGCCTGTGCTGAACTTGCTAATGATCGAGCAATGAAAATAGGGAAAAAGCTCCTTGATGAAATGCCTGAAAATTTTCGAAATGATAATGTTGTATTAACTTCAGCAATACATATGTTAATGAAATTTGGTGACATTCAAAGTGCTCAAAAGCTTTTTCAATCAATTCAAAAAAAAGATATTGTTACTTATGGTGCTGTAATGAAGGGTAAAGTGTATTATATAGATTTTGGAATATTTCTAAGTTTCTTTTTTAGGATATGTCAGAAAT